ATCATTTGACACAGTTGCTAAACTAGATTTTCAAAATCTAAATGGAAGAACAAGAAATGTAAGAAAGCAAGAATTTCCTTATTCAGTTATGCAATAAACTGTTTTTTTTTTAAGTATGACTTTATTGACAATGTAGCTTTCTTTATCTTGTGGAGTCAGTCTACCCAGATTTTAGGTGTAAAAATAAAATCTGGATGTCATTCTTGGTAGCTTTTCAGTAAACCTCAAACAAGTTTGTTATTATTTCTATGCGGCATGACATCTAGGAAGGGTAAAATATTGTTAGATTCATATTCAAAGGTAAAATCTATTGTGTTCAATGTCAAGTTTGTTGGTAAGGTTGAGTAAAAAATTTTTTTTTTTTTTTTGGATATATTAATAAAGAATCATCTATGTACTTGAAATAAGAATTTTGTGAGAAAATATTTTTGAAAGGGCCATTTTCCAGAAATTCCAAAAATAGACAAGCAAAAATGCCACTTAGAGGAGGCTCCCATTGGTAAACTAAATTTTTATCTAAAAATTGTTATTGAAGATGAAAAAAAAATGGTGATTAAATGGCACATTTTCATGATTTTTATATGTAAGATTAAGTAATTTTATTTTGGTTTTAGTTAAGTGTTTTTTTTAGTAAATTTAGATATTTCTTTACATTCCCCATGTCTCTATATATTTTCTTTTTTTCCCTCTCCCTTAGTGAGAGAGCCTCTTGATTGTGTTATAGGGTAGAACACAGTGGCCTCTCTTTTTTGAGGGCTGGATGGGTCCAACTAAAATCAGTTATCGTTGCTTGTTTTGATATTTTAGTTTGTTTTTTGGAGGGTTCATCCCCTCCCCTCCCCTCTCATTTTATATCGTGTACAAATTTTTATTTATAGTATTTTATAATCATGAAATGAAATTTTTATGTCATAGGGTGCGTTTTTTAGGCCCCCCCCTTAGAGTATACAGTATTATGGTATATGGAGGATTGATTAGCAATGGATGAGTTTTTGTGGTGAATGTGACAATTCTAATGAATGAATGGGTCGTGAATCGGATTAGTTAGGTATAGGATAGTAAGTGACGACCAGCCTCAACCCCATTTCCGGCCTTGTGCCACAATTGTGTATTTTAAGCTATAAATCTTAACATTTGTGTATAAAGATTTTATATCTAAACTAGTCATGTATTTGTTTTTGATGTCTGTGTTTTTTAATTTATTTAAAAGATTACCAGAGTTTTCTTTATATGTGAGGAGCTAATTGTACCAATAAATGCAGTTAAAATTTTGATTAGTGTGCTGGCTAGTTTATGTAGGGTGCTGCCTATTCCTGGTAATAATGGGTCTGATCGGGATGTCCTGTTTATGTATTTTTGGTAATCCGTATATATATAATTAGAAGGTAAGTTTACACCCAATTATGTAACGCATTGTTAAGAATCATCAGGAAAAATTACAAATCTAATATTCGCATTGATAGAAAAACTTGAGAAAAAGGTAAAACATTAAAAGAAAAGGGAGGTAACTGTCATTATAACAACAAAAAATGTGCTAATACCCTTGGGGAAGGTATGAATCCTCTTCTCTCCCTACACCCTAGCTATGAGTAATAGCAGGATGGACTGGGTTCTATGGCAACTGGTCTACCGCAGAAAGAAATGGCAACCTACTGTGGGAAAAAAATATGTCACGTCAGTCATATCTTTTGATACACGATCGCCTAAGGAATAGTGATGCATATTGAGTTGGGATCAAATATGAATTGGAGTCTGATAGAATGATAAGTTAAAGAATAAATAAGAAATGTTTATCAATCTAACATATTTCACCTTTATTAAAGTTTCATCACATTGAGATATGGAGAAAAAGAAAAAAAAGAAAAGTACCAGAATTTCATATCTAGAAAATTTAAAAATCATTTTAATTGTCCAATTTGGACCAAAATATTTTTGGTGACTTCATGATGATGAGATTGTCATCTGCTCTGGATTATTCCTTAGAGATGTTTTGTTTCATTTTATTTAATGACAAAAGTAAAAGGACCCAAACTGTACACCTTCATACATGATGTTATTTACACTTCATGCATGATGTCATTTTCAGAAGATTCCTTTTTACACACACATACTGTAAATGTGCTTTCTTCATGCATGAATCTGTGGTGATATCCCCAGCTATAAAGCCATTTCAAAAGCTCTTTTTTTAATTTGATTTTCATTACAAAAGTAAAAAGGACCCACACTGTATGGGACCAGTCTTAAATAAAGATGTGATAATAACCCATCCAGAGGTCTTGGATTTGATTTTCTTTAGAATTTTTGTTACAAAAGAAAAGAAAAAAAAGGACTCACATAAGTCATAGTCATTTCAAAAGTTTCTTTTTCTTTTTACAAATGAAAAATACCCTCTAAAAATAAATGAGAGAGAAGGAAACAAGGGAGAGTATTTCAATCTCTTATCCCTCTCTTTATAAGTACTTTTACAGAAAAAGACAATGTGAAATTATAAAGAAACAAAACATTTGTTAGAATGACAAAAAATATTTTTTACAATATACAAATTGTACAAATTACAATATAGGCCTTGCACACAGCAAACTATCAAAGCAGGTTAATAGCTCTTTCAAAATACAAATCTGTTTCTTAGGAAACAACACTTCAGGTAAAGTAAATGCTTTCTTGAACAACAAAGGAATTTTAATAACTTTCTTTTAGAGCAACAGTTCATGTATATCTATTTCTTAGCAATGAAAGAAATTTGTTTACTTTAAAAAGTTCATAACTCAAAGTCCAAGGGGGTGAGAAAAGGTTGACCTATTTTGTGATTTAGACAATTTTTATATTGCAAAAATATTTTTTGTTTTTGTAATAAATGTGTGTTTCTTTACAAATTTCTCTTTGAATAAGATTTGTCTTTTTCTTTATGTACTGTTTTCCTTCAAGACATAGGCGATCATGGCTCTCCACAATTTCCTGTCTTTTGTAACCCTTAATAAATTTTGTCTTATTATTATTTCTCATAAATGTTGTTCCACCATCCATTTACTCAAGCTCACTAAGTAGGTTATACATTGTTTTTCGCTGTCCCTCTTGCCTTCAATCTGACCTGTGAGTATCAGGACAGATTGAGTATCAGATTTTCCAAGTCCTCTTTACCCAACACATGCCCCGGAAATTTCAACTGTTTCTTCCAGATGTTAAGTATAAGTTTCCTTTTTGTTTCCATTTTTTTCTAAAACTTTGTTGGTGCTCACATATTCAGGCCATAGTATCCTCAGTGTCCTTCTGTAGAACCACATTTCTGTTGTTTCAAGTCTCTTCTTCATCTTTGAGGAGATTGTCCAGCATTCACTGCCATATAGAAGGACAGATATCACTTAACAGTTCAGTACTCTTTTCTTAGTTTCTAACAATTTTTTTCTGTTTCTTAATACCCTGCTTAGCTTTTGGAATGCCTCTTTGACTATCCCAATACACCTTCGGATTTCAGTGTTGCACTTTCCATCCTCTGTTAAAACACTTCCCAGATATTTAAACTTTTGTACTTGTTTGATTTTGCTATCATTCTTTTAGTTAAACAACAATTCATTCTGTCTTCTTGCAGTTGATGTTTAATTCTTTCTTCTTTGTAGGAGTTTTTGTCGTTTTCTTTCCATATCTGCTAGCAACACTGTGTCGCGCGCATATCTTATGTTGAGTTAAGATCGTGGCCGCCAATAACGAATCCTGGTAGAATTTCAAATTCTCTCAGTAGCGGTTGAATAAGTCCAGTGAGAAGACGTATCCTTGTCTTATTACATCCCTTTCTATTTTTGCTAAACCCAGATTCTTTCCGTATGCAAGTGGTTTGATTCCAGTAGGTTCTCTAAGTAAATATCCTTCCTAAATATCTCCTCAAAGCTCAAGGTAAGGTTGCTGTTTATGAAGAGATTGAAACCCTCGTCCATTTAAAATCTTCTTTCACTTACTTATCCAATTTCTTCTCGCGACCATTCCCCCCCATTGTACATATGCACTGTCTTCTCGAACGAAGTTGGAGTGATATTCCTTTTCTTCATCTATAAATTTTTTTGTTTTGTTTTGAATTTTCATTACAAAAGAAAAAAAAAATGGACCCATGTACTAGTGACCTGTTTTCCTGCACGATGCCATTTCAGAATTTTTTTCTCATTTTCTGTAAGTAAAATAAACTCTACCATAATTAAGTAAGTTTATTTACATAAAGTGAGGAGCAAGGTTTTTCTTCTGCAATAAAAACAAAACACAATAATTCTCGAATTTTAAATTAAAAAATAAAACAAAGAGGAAAATCCAATAAAAAATGAGGAAAAGAAAGAAAAACAAAAAATTGAATACATATAATTTATAACCTCTGTGATATTTCAAACGGGATCTTACTGTCTTTGTTGTTATGCTCTTTGTAAATAGCTGAAAACACGTGCTTACGGCCAGGCAGCATTGGTACCGGAAATGAGCACCGTACAGCTTTACGACTGTCGTGAAATACAACAGGCTTCTGCTCGAAGCTGTCACAACATGGCCGAGATTTGAAAAGTATTTTAACAATTAATTAATTAGCATTATAGATTTGTAATTATTTACTTTAAAAACACCTTAATTTTGTTTTATTGTTATTCAACACAGAAAGAAAATCTGTCCTTCTCCCACGATAAACTTTGTACTTTTTATTACGTAATACATGATGATATTGATAACAAACTTACAAATTTTGTTATTCGGGAGAGATTTCCTCAGAAGAAAACCAAGTAATGTATCGAACTCTCACCAATTTTGTTCGTACGACGAACATTAACAATAATAGTAGTAGACAAATATCATCACTGTGTACTTCTGATGCTTACTTCAGTTTTTCTTGTATTAGACTTAGAGACTCGATTTTATGTTCACCTTGGCCTTGGGGTATTTCTCGTCATTCCTTCTTATTAGTCAACAAAGTTTACCTGTCGTTTCACCGGAGAATGGATTCTAAAGAAGACCCCACTTTGTCCGATTCAGCTATGATCACACCTGAAAGATCTGACGACACTGCAGGAATAATTGGTAAATTGATTTTACTTATAATCACGAACTTTTGACTTTCATTGCCAATAATGTCCATGAACTGGACAAACCGTTGTCGAAGGGAACACTAAATGATCAGATTTGAATTTGATTGTATCTGGTCAAGAACTTTAAGTATTATGAATAAAGAAAAAATGTTACGCTACAGAGAAATCCTTCTCATTTCCTCTAAAAACAAAATCTCCCAGTGACCCTAGCCCTGGTGGAAGGTATAATTTTTAAATTAAATTTTTTTAATTTTAGATATTTAGTAAGAAATGTGTGATTTTTATATGTTTATTAAAATAAAATCCTAGTTTACATAACGTTGAATTAGAATTTGATGGTATCTTGCTGTTGCGTAAGTAAGTGTAAACTTGTGGTAGCTTTGCGGCGAGTAAGAATTTGGTCTGCACTTTAAAATTAGTTCAGAACTTCAGATCATTTTTATTACAAGATGGGCCCAAATAATTTTCTAGAGGGGCAGTTCCCAATATACCTCTCAATTGCTTTCGTGGAGCAGCGATTTGCAAGCTAGTTTTACTTTTTTAATAATTTTTTTTCTGTAGCAAGTTTGATCCTTACCTTACTGGATGGTCAGCAGTTGTAACCTTGTGTCATAAAAGTTAAGGCTGGTGGTAAATACTTTGAATTTCAAACTAGAATGGTAATTTTTTTTTTTATTTGTATTATTTATTTTGTAAAAAAAAAAAAAAAGACGAAACGTTATATACGTTTTTACTCCGGCTGAATTTCCTCCTGAACCCTTTCAAAATTAAATTAATACTTAATTAGGCTTAATTAATTTTTTGAATATATAATATTTTATTTTTCTTAAATAAATAAATAAGTTATCGTGTTTTTTTTACAGTTTTAATCTTTTTCATTGTCACAGGTTAGAAAGTTAGATAGTTGCATTTTTATTTTTTTAATTTTAAATCTGGGTAAATGTTTAAAAATAAATTTATTTTTGTCAGGTTTCGTTTCAGTATGTATTGTATATTTCTAATTTTAATTAGATTATTTGTGACTCACTTTTAAAAAAATTATTTTTTTTTTTTTAAATCCAAATCGTTGCTATCCAAAGATTTTAACATCAAACTAAAAAAAGGGAGTCTGTTACAATACAACCAATTTTATTTTATGCAATAAGCACTTGAGATCTTTTTTTTCCCCATTCACAAACCAAGGACTTATTAATGAAAAGAATATGTTCATGAACGGTACCTTAACAGTAACACTGTTAAAAACGTTTTTGTTTTATTTATGAAGTTGCTCCTGGCACCACGTTTCGGTCGAGCGACTTACTTTAGACTGTGAGGTGTGGGAAGGAAATCATTTTACTTCCGTGCCCCCTCCCCCGTGCATTTACTGTCCTCTATACCTGTAAGTTTGCTTTGGGAATAAAGACCTTTCCATTTTTCACAAATTACGCCTGACAAGGGCTGAAGAATTGATCGGCAGAAACATTGTGTCAACAACAGCAACTATACAAAGAGAAGAAACTGGAGAATCCAGACAATGTTGGTTGGATATATTAATGACTCTTCTCAAAGTTATACACTTTAAAATCTAACTTTTTAGTTTCATTACAAGACTGTGTAATTGATTGGACGTTGTGGGTTTATAATGGGTTGATAGCTTTTTTTTATTTTTTTTTATTTTACTGATACTACCTCGGGAGGATAGATAGTAGGGAGTGATTTGTTCACCTGTTTTCATAACCGCTATCTTTTCTAACAACCATCATTGTGTTAAGCTTTTTGGTGATGGAACAAAACTCAAGGAGATGTGGATTCATGCCTTAAGTGCATTAATTCAAAGTAAACGTAAACAGTCTTCTTAGCCAGAATTTGAATTAAGTTTGTTGATTCTGTTTTCACTTAGGATAACTTTGTCTCTACTAATCTTTCATAAAAATTTTTTGCTAGAAATAGTTTTTCTTGCATGTACAATGCTGAGTTTTCATACCATTTGTATCTAGGTGTTTCAGCAAATCTAATCTGGTTGAATGTCAGTATTGAATAGTGTGTTTGATACTCACTGGGTGCTCTATACAAAATTTGACATAACCCAATAAGAGTTGACATTGTATAATCAACCAACCTAAACTAATCTAACCATTTGTATCTGGTGGCTCTCATTGCAGATTAAGTAACAGTAAGTCTCTACAATACACTTTTTTGATAATTTCAGCTTTACTTTAGATTGCTATTTTTTTTTTTTTTATACAGCCTCCTCAGCTGGAGTGAATTTCAAAGTTCCATAGAATTTCACTTTTTGCATTCTTTAATACAACTTCTGGTCTGTGCTTATACCACTAATTTTCAAAGTAAAAAAAAAAAAAATTGTGGCATAGTGTTTGTAAAGGGGAATAACTTTCGAAAGCACCTAAAATGAGTGATCTCCCTTATGAAGCCCCTCTCGATTGGAGGAAAAAAGATCTTGTCAGATTCTGTTACAAAAATATCTGATTTAATGAAAATGGCTCATTTTTGACAACATTTTTTAAAGAACGTATAGGAAAAATGCTACAATTTCTCATAGCTTTTCTTATTTTAGAATTAGAATCATGAGCAATTAATGTTTTATTTTTTAGTTAACTGAATGAAATTTCTCCATTATATTACAGTATTCTGATGTGTAGCAACTTTGAAAACATGCAGATATTTCAAACAATTTTTTCAGATCTGTTGGTAATCACTTGTTTGGAAATGTTTATATTTTTCAGTGAGGAAATATTTTGTAACTAAAATTCATAATCAAAGCTGATTTCACATGAATGTCAGATTGTTTATGATTAGTATATGGAATTGAAAAGCACATTAAAAATGGTGGGGGTGCTATTCTAGAATAATACAAAATTTGTTTCCTCAGATTGTTAAAAATATGCTGCCAGTTTTAACTAAGGAGTATTTGCAGTATGAAGTATAATAAAATGTTGATCATCAAAAAAGTCTTGAGTTAATTTTAATATTAAGAACATAAAATCTTATTTTTGTTTTCTTGGCATATAACATTATTTATAAAATTTGTTGCTGGTTTTGTTACTTGCTGAGAGTGTTGTGTACATTAAAATAACTAAAATTGTATTGAGACTAAAAAGCCTTTACTTAAAAGAAGATCACTAGATTAAAGCCAATATTTTGCTGCCACCCCTTTTTTTAAGGTGAGAATGAAGAAACAGAAACAAAGACTAAAAATAATTGAACCAGATTAGTCTATATATGGTGGTTTAGTCATAATTTTGAAAAATGAGTTTCTAGTAAAGTAGAAGTCACTCATGTCAATTTGAAATTAAAAATGTGTCTCTGATGATGCAGAAATTTTGAGCTTATAAAATATAAAAAAGCCTAAAAAAATGTAAAAAAAAAAAATGTAGAGAAATAAAACCAGAGCTACATGAGTTTCACCCTCAAATTGAAGGATCGTCAGGCCAGGTTCAAACTTTGTCTTACCTAGCTTGTAGTACTGGCTTTTTAAATATGGAGAACTTATATATAAATGTCTGGTCACTGACATGAATCTGTATAATATATTCATGTTAGTTTGATTGCTACTGGTACAATGTGATCTAGTACTACCTGTTGCATGATCTGGAGATTGGGGACTAAATTGGTTCCCTCACTGGCTTTATTTGGTAAGGAGGGTTGCTAGAAAATCTGTAGAATTAAAAACAAAATTCATCAAAGGGTGGATGAATCCTTCTACATGGTCAATGGCTATTTAGAATTTTCAGAGTGAGAAGGATACTCTGAAAAACCTGCTGCAGATACTTAGACGGTGGTATGTTCATATCTTTATGTGCAGATATTTCTTCAAGAGTTTTGCAGTAATGGAGCTGTGACAACTATACAGACCTACTGTCTGCAAAGAACCATGCAAGGTGGAGACTGGTCTGAAGTGTCATATATGTGCACATTGTTGTGTGGATATCAATGAAGAGATGGCATCCTGAAAAGAGGGTGCAACTATCATCATCATTATGTAAAAATTTCAGATAGAGTATATCTGTAAAAGGACAATATGAATAAAGACAAAAAGAAAACTTAGCTGGTGTGTTTCATCCACTACCTTGATAAAATCCCTCAGAGGACAAAACATGTCGGCTAAGTTTTTCTTTTGCCTTTATTCATATGTATGTATGTATAGACTGTCCCCTTTAATTGGGTACAGTTATCACATGACATTAGTAAAGACCTTTTTAATAGTGTTGCAATTGAATATGGCTTTTCTGCCAAGCCACTGGCTCACATTGATTGCCACAAATCCTACATGCATGAGTTGCATTTACATCAACATCCAGCAATTAATCTGAAACAGTTCCAAAGCCTTACCACTTATATCAATAACATTGTCATCATTAAGTTGTTTGCTCCTTTATGCTAGAGTTACCTGTGCATCACCAAGTAAGATACAATAGAAACCCAATTATCATCTGGGATTGCGTAGGAAAAGCCTCACCCTCCAACTGAAAAGGTGATAAATGTAGTTTATGGCTTTTAGAAAAACTAATGATTCTAAAACAAATAGATAATTCTAAATTGTTTAAAAAAAAAAAAGTGAGTTAATGACCTCATGCATACATAGGAACAAATACCTACTCTAGCACATTAACCCAAATTAATATGGTTTTCTCACATTTGAACACCACTCATACTAGTATTATTGTTGCTATTATTATAAATATTGTTAATATTTTTATTATTATATTATTAATGTTATATTTTTATTATTCCTACTATGACCTATTATTAATATTACTATTATTATTATTATTATTATTATGTATCACTGCATATATATTGTTTTTATTTTTATTATTATTTTATCGTTACTTAACTATTGTTTTTTTTTAAGTGGCTTACCCCAGCAAAAAATGAGTTACCCCCCCCCTTGACACTTAATATTTTTCTACCAACGTTCTTAGATGGTCATTTTTTTAAAAATAGAATTAAGAATTTTTAAATTTTAAGTGTAAGTTTGAACATAAATTTAGA